ATATATATATATATATATAATTATGAGTTTTTATTGAAATATAAAATTAAATTATTTTATAAGAAATTTTAATAAAAGTATTGTTGTAAAACTTATGCTCAAACGATCGTTTTAAAATGCTTAAAATAGACACGATGACCATTATCAGTAACTTGTCACGCAACAGCTGAAGAAATTACAAAGAATTTATTCTTTAACAAATACTTCAATTGATAACTCATCTGTTATTCGAAATATTCACATTCAAAATCCGCGTATTAAAATAGTAAAATTAAAGATTGTAAATTTCATTAAAATTATTACAATACAATTAAACAAGGTATAAGTAAAAGACATGATCAAATTTTTCATATCTAGAAAATGGATGTTGTACGAACATAGATCCGGAAATGCTTTCTTGTCGAGTTATTTCGGAAACATTGTTGAATTACGGCAACGTACAACAATAAAGTGAGTCGAATGTGTGAGGATTTACTAAACACACTTACTAAATACACATAATGTATATGTGTATGTGTGTATTTTCCAAACATTCCAATAAAAACAAACTATCTCATGCATCTGTACTTTGTAAACAGATTATTAGAAAAAGAGTTCTAACAAGAAGTGAAGCTTTTCCGGATCATATAATATGTTTTCTTCAATAATAGATACCTATAAAAAATGTGCTTCCAAAATTTCGGTATATTTTTTACTTATATCATGTATAGTATTGTAGATTATATAGATGTACATTAATATCAAAATATAAATAAAATTATTCATTTAATTAATTATGTCTCTGACTCACGGATAAATTAACATAAAAATTTACAAATATATGAAATAGTTATATTTTAGATGTTTTTTTCTTTTTTTTTATTTTAGACGCTATTTTTGCGTCGGAATTATAACGGAATTCCATTGCATCTCGCGAATCGCCGGAGCAAGACGAAATCACTGACCGCCTACGTCACTGAACATGCCCCACGTGAACATTATATCGGATTGTACTACTTTTTAACAGCCTTGAATGAAGGTATTATGAAGCCCAATTGACAGTTTCCTCGTACGTTCGTTTTGGCCTCGATTTTTTATCGCTACAATTTTTATAAGGTGTCACACGCCCGCATTTGAGGCTCGCATATCGGGTCCCCGATATCTGATATGACTTCCGTAAAGTTGTTCGAGCGTGAACAATTATTCAAAGAATTTTTCTCAGTTCTATAATAAGGAGATATTCTAAATCGAAATACGATATTCTAAATTCGAAATACGAGATTTGAATTCGATTAGACATTAAATCTTAACTTCTCTAAATCCTAAAGCTTGAATTGCATCTTAATTTATAAATCTTAGACTTCAGATTAAAAAATTTAAATCTTTTTCAAGATTGTAGATTCTAAAAAAAGATTTAAATTGTAAAATCTAAAATAAAATGAAATGTGACATGCAAGATATGAATAGACATAAATAGAAACAAGTGATAAAAAAGAGGTATAAATTGTATTTTTTTTTCAGCTCAGTGATATTTTTTATCTATATAATTCTTTCTTTACATTGGGTTGTCCGGAAAGTTCGTGCCGCAAAAGATTTAAATTTAATAAATAAAATTAAAAATTTAAATCTGCGTTTCAATTTTTCTTCAAAATCGGCACGAACTTTCCAGACAACCCAATATTTGATTCTTTCGAACAAAATGCAATGTCAAAGTATTATAGATGTAGTAAATATATATTATGCAGCATTTCACCTTTTGACCCTTTAAACCTCGTCACTTCGACTGAAACTGCATATAAGTACATTTTACAAAAACAAAATCATATAGAAAAAGAGATTATAAAACACATATTTTATATAAAAGTGTTTTCAGCAATTAATCTTGTTCAATCCATAAATGTCTAAACAAATATGCAATTCTTTGAATTAAACGATTTCTGTCAAAACATAATTTCAATTATTAATCTACACGCACACACACACACACACACACACATACACACACACACATTATTTTTCTCATGTATATATTACTCATTTGCTATGAACGATATAACTAAAAAAGCGAAATTTTCCAAAAAATGAACTACATATTTTGAATTATTAAAATTTTTCAATATTATTTGGATTGTAGAGAAATAATTTTGTTTTTCTTTTTATGTACGTTTTCTTTCTGTAAGCAACTAAAATATGACAATTTTTTAATTATTATATAATAATTGTAATAAATAAGTGACATGTATTTAAAATTCTAAATTTATATCATTTCTGAACTTTTCTTACAATAAAAAAAACTTGCATAGTGTAACATAAATAGAGCTCATATATAAAGCGTTGCATGATTTCTCCGCGTAAGCCTGGTACTAGTTAAGAGTAACAATGACAGACAATGCTCTTCATTTTATTCGCCATAAAGCGCCATTTGAACAAACGTTTCTATCATTACATTGACACGCGTGGGACACGTGTCCCTCTAGTACGCAGTGCCGGCCGAGATTATAAGCGTCGAATATCGAAAAACCACTCGATTCGAACGCAGAGATTCATGACTCATGCCCTTTTTGAAACATCGTCCGGTCTCGTTGCGTTGTCAACCTCTCTTAAAGTCACCTTCAACTTTTCCAACGGCATCCATTGATCGTCGCTTGAATGTGACCCCGTAAACTATTACCTCACCTACTCGTTGTCAATGAATGAACGCCTCGATAATGTTCTCGCGCGTATCTGTAATTGGAATCCGCGAGAAAGAAAGAGAGAGAAAGAGATACGAATCGCAATTGTGAGCCGGAAATAGGAATGCGCTGAATGTGTCTAAGCTATGAAATGTGTGTCGAAACGAAAAAAGAAAGACGAAATTCTTGTCGCAGTCAAATGCATTCTAAGAGTATTTCTCAATCAATTTCTTGACGCTTGCTAAACTTGAATAATATCTGTCACGATACAGTTCAATTACGTTTTATGAACGATTGTGTAATAATGAATTCGATTACTCGCATTACATTGGATTAATGCACATTAAAGGCTTCATATAAAATGTCTAAATACAGTGGCATAATATTAAATATAATCAATTTTGACAATGAAATAATATCTTATTAAATAATGATATCCTGTTAAATAGCATGTCATTATTTAATTTTTAGTCTAAAAATCTATTCGGGTTTATTTAACCCTAAATGTAATTTTTTTAAATAAATAAATATTAAATAAATAAATACAGATAATAGAGACTTAGAGTAAATCATGAAAATAGATACAGATAATAGAAACTCAGATAAAGTATAATAAATCATAAATAGATACAGATAATAGAGACTCAAATAAAGTAAATATGAAAAAATACCAATACGAGCTAATTCTTAATGTGTATGTAATTTATTGACAGAATTATTATATATATATTAATACATATTCCTATTCCCAATATATAAGTTTCGATCTCTCGTTCGGATCCTCTTCCGAATGTAAATTAATGTTGTAAATTAAATGATCAAATTCAGTCTGCAATGATTCGTCAATTTCCATAAATTCATCAAGCCAATATATATTTGATTTCCAAGGTTCAATGCGGCTAGCCCTCAATAAATTGCCAGATTTACTATGTGATATAAAATTGTACAAGTTTATATTGTTGCGTTGAAATTAAAAATTTTGTTAACTTACATGATATTCTGCTTTGAAACACACATTGAGATGTTGTCAGTTCGCACGTTACAAGTCAAATGCGGATCGATTACAACGAACAAATTATGTTATTCTAAAACGATAATTAGGAGTACAGTAATAATTTATTTGTTCGTTTTATAATCGATTTACATTTAATGTGCGAATTGATAACATCTTTAACATGTTCTTCAAGGCGAAATATTATATCATATAAGTCAATCAAATTTTAAATTTAAGGATTTATATTTAATGAAGGCTTAGTTGCATTAAAGCTTGGAAATCAAACATATATTAGCTGACAAATTCATGGAAATTGATGAATCATTGCGGACTAAATTTGATCATTTAACTTACGATATTAATTTATACACTGAAGAGGGAACGAGATAGGATTCGAAATGTACATATTGGGAATAAGTTATAATTCTATCAATAAATTATATGTATATATTATTGTAAATTATATGTATAATTAAGAATTAATGTCGGCTTATAAAGGCGTTTTTTTATATATTGATTTTGTATTAAAAAATTTTTCTCTTTGTGATGACTTCGTTTGTTAATATAAAATCTTTTTTTCTGTGAGAATTTTTTATTTTTTAGAATTTTTTCATCATATTGACAAACGATATGATATATCATATAATAAATTTGAACAAATCAGATTAATCGTTCAAAATATTTAACTTTTACAGCTTTTAGCTTTATTAATTTCATATACAGCTTTTAGTGTACTGATCTAGTATAATGCAAAGTGACTGAACTCGCTATAATTTAAAATTCTTGCATTGTAGAGGGATTTCGATGAATCTTCCTTAAAACGAGTGGATGAAATACTTTTGTTTTTATCTCATCTTTTAGCTTGAAAGAAAAACAGATTTCGCTTTCAAACTAAATATTGTAGAGATTTCTGAATATGCATCTAAAATTTCTGGAACCTTTTGATATTGCTTATTCGCCTTCGATGTCGCTTATTCAATAGAAAGAAAAACCCCAAGCAGCCGTCTCGACTACCGACTCACAGTGGTCGAGCAAAGTGTGTGATGCATTGCTAAGTTATGTACACTTTCATCGGCGATGATGTCATCTGTTTCTCGAACGTGTATATGTACATACTATATATATATATATATAATATA